GATCTTGTAAATACATATAATAAGCTCGAACATCTTTAGTCATATTCTTCGAGCCATATTTCTAATTGAAACATAAGTTTTTACGATACAATCATTCGTATATAATAAAGAAAACCAACTTTTCCGTTAAGAAAATATCAATTGCCTATATAGAGTGTCGATGCAGCAACAAGAAAAAGTGGAGGTGCAGTAATAGCAAGCGATGGACGAATTTCGAATCAAATCATTTTTATCTAAAAGAATAAAAATATGGAAGACATTGATTGACAAAAGAAAAACAAAACAATAAAAAATATAAATGACTAGTGAAATGTTCGATTAAGATATTTATATGCTGAATGACTATTTGCCACAAGATGTTGCCAAACATGTAAAAGACGATTGACTGATAATGGCATATGACCAAAAGCAAGTGAAGAAAGACCAAATGGTGAAAGAAAACGTTGTTCGACTAGATCAATATTAATAACAAATAGAGAATTAATAAATAAATGCTTAACATAAATAGATGATCGAATTGCTTGTGGTAGAATACCAGTTATATAATAATCATCAATCCAAAAGAAAGGTACATGTTGAATTGCTTCAAAAAGTGGTCGAATTAAATCTTGAGTTATAAAATATGCAGAACCCGAACAATAAGGTTCAAAATGTTCATATGGATATTCATCAGATGAAACAAACCATTTTGATGATGGATCTCGTGTAACACGCATTCGTGTCCATACAAGACAAGCTATCGTAGAATGCCATGCTTCAGTTGGATAGACATATGTTAAAGTATAAAGATGATTTAGAACAGAAAACATATTTATTAACATATCATCATCGGTTTTTAATATATATGATACTTGATTACAATGATGTAAAATCCAATTAAGTGCCATTATACCTTTATATGTTAAATTTCTATATGTATCAATAAATGTTTGTTGAACAATATCACGATATGTATCAAATTCAAATTGTGCTTGTTTCATTAATTCTTTATTATGACTTGAACCAAGCATAAATAGAACACGTATGTGTTTTCCAAATATTGAACGTGATCCCCATGTTGAACGAATTGATTCTCGACGATGACGATTTTCTATAGCTGAATGAACATAAACAATTAAAAGTAATGATTCATCTGTTGAACATATATCATCTCCAGGTTCTAATATATAATCAAAGTGTTTTGCTGCTGGTTTAACTATATATATTCGAGGATTTGATTGATTTATTGGATAATTTGCTAATAAAATCCATACAACGAAAAAAATGACTAATAACGAGCCATATACTGCTCGATAACGTATACCCATAAGTCATCTATAAAATAAGATAATTTGATATATCTGACAATATAAGATAAAACAAATAAGAGAAAAAAAAACAATAAGATTAGAAAAGTTTTTGATATTTATCATTAATTATAAAGTTAATGTTAGATGATGATGATGAAGGAGAAGTAAATAATTGTTTTATAACACCCCTGGTTTTGCGAGTTGTTATTCGTGGTTGATTTTTGGAGATAGAACTAGTTGTATCTTGTTTAGGAGACTCAACAAAAAGACGATGTCGAACTTCTTAAAAAAATATAGTATTATATTTCGTCATTGATATTTATATTTGAAAAATATACTTTCATGTGATTGTAGTGATAGAACAGATTTTGATATAAGTCGTATTTCATTGGTTTTAGGTAAATATTTCTGTGCTTCACTTACAAAATGTCTTAAAATATCATTATAACGAGATACACGATTAACTACTTGAAATAGATGAACAGTTGTCGATTTGATTGATTAATTATCATAAATGGAAATATCATATACTTAAAAGAAAAACGATTTAAATAAAATAGAACTTCTTTTTCAAAATGAAAATCATATTTGTCTTTAATAACAGAGTATTTTTACAAAGTGTACAGACTGTAGTCCGACTCAGCTCGGGTCACAATAGATTGAACGATATCTAGCTTCACATAGGATAAATAGGCACTCTAGATGAGATAATAACTTTATTCTTGTCAATTTTTGAGAGAGCTCATATGGATTTATTAAAAAGAATGTTTAATCTCTAAAAAACAAAACTCACTCTGGTAGGAACATTAGAATATCTAACCGTATGACAACGGCCTTCTGCATTAATCTTCTTAAATTAACACGTCTTACAAAAACCAATAGATACATACTACAGTAAACCGTCGAAGACAAACAAATCACTTGAAACATTTATGTAAATGAGTGGAAGCTATTCAGACATGAGACAGGACCAGCTATGCTAATTCTAATCTTCATGCGGATACCATGCACTTATTAATAGTAGGTATTTTGTGAAACGGGATCTAAAAGAAGTATTAGTAAAATACCTTCTGAGTGCTGTTTTACTTAGGATTTATGCCAGTCGACAGAGCTTGAGATTCTAAGTCCAATGGACTATAGTCTGAGCCACAAACACAAACAAATAAATATTCGGAAAAGTGATGTTCAATGAAGTTATGGAAAATGCCTGATGGCTCTAGTATGTTCAAACTATGCAGCCGAGCTACATTTGACCTCATTTTTCAAACATCTATTTTTCAGAGTTTTAAGCTCTATTGACTAATATATGTCGCAAATAAAACTTTCTCAGAGAATATCTTATCAATATGTCACAGACGCCTTAGCAATGCCCTTCTCTTCGACACAAACGATGACAGATCTTTTCAATATACGATCAAAGACCGGATATCAATAACGTTTTATTATACTATATGAACTACTTCCTTATTAAGTTTCTGGACGATTAAGTAAAAAGATGATGAAGAAATGTGTCCTAAAATAGAACGAATAAGACAATCCCCCTGTGATTAACAAGAGAAGATACATTATATTTCATATTTTTATTCCGCACGGATTACGCTTACTGCTTTTCTTATGGTAAAAAATACGGAAGCATTAAAAACAAATATATCATAGAAAAAAAAAAGAACTCTTCTAGTTGAAAATATATTTTGAAAAGTAATTCATTTTGACAAAGTTATAAAATCTTACATAGAATAGTAGAATGAAGATAAGGAGTTTCTTTAATTATTTCTTTTGATAATGAATTTATATTAGATCTATTGAATTCATAAGAAATGTTTTTTTTTTCATTGGTATATTATCTATATTAGTTAATGATGAACTAGAATAAAATAAAAATGAAAAATTTATATGAATTGTTTTTTGTTTTAATATTCATGAATAAAGTCTTGTTACGGGTAATAATTTAAAACTAAATATTCGATTAAGTATAGTTGTTGTTTTTGATGTTTTGACATTAATCATTTTACGATTTTTTTGTTAATTCAAATGGAAGTGAAGATACATTACGTTGTGAATAAATTCGTCGAGATTTTAATAATATTCGATCCGAGATCGAAGGAAAAGATCAGTCATTTTTTGTTTAGAATCAATATAGATGATTTTTTTTCCCTCATCAAATAACAACAGTTGTTGAACACGAGAGAGAGAGAGAGAGAGAGAAAATGATTATGTTTGCTTGATTGGACAAACATAATTGACAAATCAAATATGAATGATAAGCGATGTCGCTCAAAGAAATAATTGATTTATCAATATTAAATTATTTAAATATAAAACAAATATGACTTTTTTTTTGCATATATTTAAAACGAAAAAAAAGTTCTCTTTGCTGTCGATTCAATCAATGATAGATAATCGAATAAAATACACTAATTAAGTTTAATCTTTTAATTGATGATGTATACCAACAGAAATAGCAATATTTCTATTTGTTTTCAGCAAATCAAACTGAACATCTCGAAAATATAAACATTAAACAAATTTCTTTGAATTTTCATCATGTTTTATAAAAATATTAGATAAAATTTCATCCATTTATTTAATAAGATGTTCTTTACGTCAACGATCTTTCACATCATTTGTTGATCTATTCCATAGTGTATTTTATGATTTTATCATGTTCTTCAATAATAGATGTCTTCAAAAAATCTGGTTCAATCATATTACTATATCAATCTCATACAGCCGTTTCATGATGAAGACATTACGAAAATGTTTCCAATACATATGTTGGTACTGAATATGAAAACATATCTGATGCAATTAAATAATTAGCAATGGAATAAATAGTAACAATACGTGAATCTCTTTTATTAATAAGTAATGGTAAAATCTTTTTTTGTTGTCATTGCAAATAGGAGCATTATTAGCTAATACACGAAGAATTTTTGTCTTAATATTAATCATTTCATAAACATTATGAAAATTCTTCTTTTTGAGTTATTTCTAATTTCAAGACAATTGCACGTGATCAAAGAAGTTTTATTCATCTATCTTTATTTATTCTGATTATCAGTACCAGGAAGAACATTAAAATGTTGTTTATTTAATTCAATTGCTTATCCATGATCAAAACCAGCTGATAGGATACATAAATAAAAACTATAAAACCAATTGTATAAAGAGATCAGAACACACTTTTGTGTTTATTTACGTCAATATCTATAGGATAAAAATTATAATAAAAACATTATAGTCCGTACTTGTATAGTTTGTATTCCTGAAATTTATAATATTGATGTAATTTTAAAATATTAAAGGGGGAGGGGGGGGGGAATTATTTATTTATTAATTTATGAAATAAAAAAACAAACATTTAGAAATTCTAGAAAAATCAATCTGACAATTATGTGCATAGATAAAATTCAATTAAACGATTATGTCTTGAGAGTGTTGAAATGTCAAAAATATATGTTCTAATGATGTTAATTCGACAGTATAATTTGATGCAATTATATTTTGTTCAACAAGTTGTTCTAATAATTTAAATAAATATGCTAAACTACCTTTTGGATATATATATTCATTGGTATTATCAATACGTTCAAGTGATGGTATTTGAAATGATGATTGAAGTAATGTTAATCGTATACGATAATTAGCACTATATTTATTTTTAAGATGTTCAGGTGAACCTAAACATCTTGCATTACCACGAACAAGTATTGTTAAACGATCACATAGTTGTTCACATTCAACCATTGAATGTGAAGCAAATATAATTGATGTATCAATAGGACGATTTTGTAATATAAGACGTATATGACTACGTAATAATGGATCAATTTTTGCTGTTGGTTCATCAAGTAAAAGAAGTGTTGGTGAACCAATTAAACATAAAGCTAAATGAAGACGACGACATGTTCCACCACTTAAATGTGATACTAAACGATGACGATATTTTTCTAATTGAAATTGTGATAAAATTATATTGTTTAATAATGATGGATTAAGACCATGTAAACGACATATATAATCAATAGATTGTAGAACAGTTAAAGCTGAAAAATTAATATCATTTTGTGGACAATAACCTATTGATGTATTTTTATTTTTATAAATATAACCACCAGTTGGTCGTAATTCTCCTACTAACATTCGAAATGTTGTAGTTTTACCTAAGATAAATACATTTTAATATCGATAGATGAATCTTGCTAAAGAATTCTTTTTTTTTTTTAAATAATACTACTGTTACATTTCCTCTAATTGATTATAATGAATGCTAACGAAGATTGACATATGGCTTTTAAACACTCAGACAATGCACTCTCTTTTTTTTTATGAGTAATAAGTAGAAATTCTTGTTTACGTTGAAGTAGATTAATATTTTAAAACTCAATATGCTTTTAGATAACTCGACATTTCTCTATCTAACGAGAAAACCTCTCTAGATGTGTCAAATCGCTTTTCGACCGAGACTATATTCATCTGATGAGTAATAGAAAAGTCTCGAATGACGTAGTTTTCCAAACCTTCGTTCTCGAGATATCGAAATTTTACTGGGTTTTTCGTTCTCTTTAGGCCATGTAGAAACTCAACTTTCAAATATCGACTTTAAACTTTGCACGAAAACAAAGTTTTCAAAGTGACTAGTTGATAGCACAAATTTTAGTTTTTCTAGTATTTCCTTTCGCGAGATATATATATATAGGAACAAAATTTTACTTTTACATATGAGCAAAATTTCGAATATAGAATATCTTACGGTAGACTCGAACATCAATTTTCCACATGATCACATGGAGACGATAAACTCGGTAAAACCATTCTAGATTTTTATATTATTCATCAAATAAACTTCGTCCCGGTCGAAAAGCGATTTGACATCTGGAGAAGTTCCCTCGTAAGATAAGCAATCTTATATAGGCATGTATCCAAATCTAATATTTCAAACTTATCTGATTCAATAAACTGTCACCCTAAAATACAGAAAGATGTTTGCCTTCGATAACTAAACGAAGAATTATTCAATGAGCCGTTCGGTTTAATAAGAGATTGAAAGAAAACTGAAAAACTATCCAAACTCATTTTGATTGACCCTAGTGCGTAGTCTAACAATCTTGCCGAAATCCGTCTGTTGAAATTCTCTAGTATTATTTCTTTATATCAGTTTTCTACTGATAGAAATATAACTGATTTTTTTTTTCAATTTTTAATCAAAAAAAAATCTGATTTCAACTGTTTCTCCCTTGAGATAAGAATATTTTTCTTCATTTATGCAAAAACAATCTAAACCGTTTGATTGCATGACTAATCTCATATTAGATAGTTTCGAAAGATTTTCTTTGTTAGAACAGCTCCAGCAGTATTACAATTATTTTCACTCTAGTAATAAAAGATGATTAATTGATTCGTATATTGCATTGTTCTTATTAAGTAAAAGAACATTGTTTCGCAATCTATGATCTATATTGGTTGCACCAAATGAATTTTCTATGTTCCAAAAAAAGCACTGGATATTCATTTTGTATATATAGCAAGGAGGAACAAACTAATTTCTATGCTAGAAATCACCAGAAATCATTCTAACATCTTAAGGATATGAATAATGACTGGAGGTGGTTAAAAATTATTGAAAACTATCAGAAGTCATTAGAAATCAATGGGAATCACTTTAATTTATAGAAAACATCCAGTAATAAAGACTAAAGTAAAGTGCTGGTTTCTAATGATTTTCTTGATTTTTAATAATTGTCAATATGTCAAATGACTACTTTTGGTTTACTATTTTCCAGTGATAGAAATCAGTTTGTTTCTTCTTGATACATAAATAAAAACTTTGTCTATCAAATGCTGAGTTTCAATGAATGAAATATTAATATTTAATAATAGAAAAATATTTCTAAAGATCATTAATTTTAATCTTCTTTTCTATAATTTAAAACATACCACTTCCATTGAATCCTAAAAGACCAAAACATTGTCGATGAGGTACAGCAAATGTTAATCGATTAACAGCTGGAATATATGAATTATGATAATGTTTAGAAAGATTATCAACAACTAAAGCTTCATGTTGTTTTTCTTCATTTGTCATGGATACTATTCGATGTCTTTCTTTTTGAACATCATTATCTTCTTCCTCATGATTTATTTCACCTTTTATTTTACCTCTAATCCATCGTAATTTTGATATATCAAAAATAATAAGTAAAATAAAATAAAGAATAAATTGAATAATAAAAATTATTGTATGAATCAATATTTTATATGGATAACGTTCATGTGAAAATTCTTCTCCTTGCTTGTCTAATGGTAAATTATCAAATGGACATGAAGATTTTCGTAAAATAGCTACTATTAATGTAAATACATTAACATTTGGAAATATAAGTAATAATAACCAACGTAAAATATGTATTAATATTGTAAGTATACGATATCCACGAAAAAGTTCAATCAATACTTTAAATGTATTTAAAATATGTGCTATTTGAAGAATAAATATAATAACTGTTGCACCTAATATTGGTGCTTTAAAAAATTTTGCAATTAAATATATAAATGGAAGATTGACAATAAAAAAAAGTGGTGTTAATGCAAAAAATTTACCATTAAATGTTGATGAATAAACAAAACGTTCGATTAAAATAAGAATTAATAACCATAGAAGACATAAAATAAAATCACTAAGAAATGTAATAGACCAATGAATTGATGAATGAAGACCATGAACAAGTGAATAAGAATAAAGACCTGATGCATAATCTTGAATAACTAATGCTGCAGAAATAATTAATATAAGTGAAATTAATATAATTGATAAATGAAGTTTAGGTGGTAATGTATAAAAACAAAAAAAGGCTATGTCATGTTGAAACATGGAACTAGTAGAAGATGGAAATAAAGAACTTTTTTGTTCTTTACCAATCAACTGTAATGGAGATATAGACCGATTGGAAAATAATGAAAATATTGGTATACATGTACTAATTATGTTTGATAGAGCAGGTGATGGAACATAACATTCAAGATAATCAGAAGAAATTATTCGAAGACCAATTAATTTTCTTTGATGATGTTGATTCGCTGACCATATTGGTAATTCTAAATAAATTTCGTTTTTTATATTAAACAGAAAAAAAAACCAATGAAGATCGAATCATTTTTTTTCTAAAAAAACATCTATATAGTTTCTAGATATGGGGAACATATAGTCCCAAGATCAGTTCAGTGACATGAAACCCAAAAACAACTGATTCCACTCATGTCTATTTGTTTGGCTTGACATTATGAGACTAATACTTAGAACGAGATAAGTATAACTTACCTAATAGATATTGTTGAAATTCTTGTGATGAATTAAAAATTGGAGCAAGTTTATTTTCGAATTTGTTCAAATTTAATTTATTTATAAATTCAGGAGAAGATGAAATAATATAACGAATTCGTTCAGATGATGAAGCAAATGATGGCATATAGAGTGGTGAAAGTGCATAAATCAAATAAAGAAATATAACCAATGGTAATAGACGAGCTCGTCTCAAAAGTATTTGACCACGTCGAATTAAAACAGCTAAAATTTGTTGAAACCATAGATGCGTAGATTGAGTACTTGTTCGTGACGAAAATAATGTATCAATTTGAGATTTAATGATATTGTCATCTAAGTACATAACAAAAAAAAAAGAACAAATTTTTTTAAATAAATCAGGAAGTATGTGAAACATGAAAATATTTTTCAAAATTTATAAATTATTTATTTATTTTTTTTTCTATACCTTGTGAGAATGATTCTGATGATGAAGTTAATTTAATAAAGATATCATCAAGTGTTACATTAACTAAAGAATATTGAATATTATCTTTTTCTAAATTTTCAAGTAATAAAATTAATTGTTTTCGATTAGGTATTTGTATATAATGATTATTTTCATCAATAATCCATTCTTTTTGTATATATGATGGTATTATATTCAAATAAAGTCGATCATTAGATGGACCATATTGTTGTTTAAGATCAAGTATTGTACCTTGTGCTCGAATTTTACCTGAATCAAGAATAATAATTGAATCACAAAGTTCTTCAACTTCATCTAATAAATGTGATGATATTAATAATGTTCGATTTGTTTTATGTTCTCGAAGCCATGACCAAAGTATTCGACGAGCTATTGGATCAAGTGATGATGATGGTTCATCTTAAAAATTTAAATATTATTAATATATCTAAGACAACTTGATTATTATTGTTATTATTATTATTATTATTTTTCTCTCTTTCTACTCACCCAAAACTATAATATTAACTGGACCAACAAATGCACATAAAATTGATAATTTTCGTTGCATACCTCCTGATAATGTATGACATAATTGTTGATTATATTTATTCATATTCATCATAGCAAGTAATTCATCTATTTGTTTATAATCTATTTGATTATTATTTGATCGTACATGAGCATAAAATTCTAATTGTTCTTGAACAGTTAAATATGAAAAAAGCATATCTTGTTGTGGACAATAACCAATACATGATTGAAGTTCATGTAAATTTTCAAATAAATTTTTATCATGTATTTCAATTGTACCACAATCACATGATAATAAACCACATATCATTTCCATAGTTGTCGTTTTTCCAGCACCATTATGACCAATAAGACCATAGATAGTAGAATTTTCAAGTTTAAATGAAATATTATCAACAGCTATTTGTTGTTCAGTATTATATCGACCATAAGATTTTGTTAAATTATTTATTTGAACAGTTATTTCATTATTTGATGATGATGGTATTTCAATCATATTCATATTAATACTATCACGTCTATTTTGTTTTTTTATTTTTTTATTACGAATATAATCTAATGGCCATAACCATGAACGTGATATTCCATATTTACCTGGTCGAATTTGTTCAAGATAAAATGCTAAAAACCACATTATTAATATACCAATTATCATACTTAACCAAATAAAAATAATTTCATTCATTAAATATGTATGACGACCTAAATCAGTATTTATTTGTATAAAAATAATAAAAATTCGTTTTATTGAATAGAATGGTAACCAAGCTGAAGCAATAAGATGTAGAATCATTGGTAATTGTACAGATGATGAAATAGCTAACCAGAATGAAATAAAATAAATAAACCATGACCAGAGTGATGCTTTAAGTATACTATTAAAAAAATGTGCAACAAGTATAGATCGTGAAAGAACTTGAATAGACCATAAAAGTATTGTTGGTATAATAAACCAAATTGATACATAAGTAAAATAAATTCCTCCATCAAAAGATATTTTTAATATTAAAATTAAAAATATATCTATAATTAATTGTATTATAAAAACACGTAAAAACCAAGCGAAACTATTAAGTAAAGGACGAATTGAAAGTAAACGAAGAAGTTCAGTTATACCTTGATGTTTTTCATCAATTAATTCTTGAAAAAGAAAATTAAAACTAAATAAAATACATCCATCAATAAGTATAAGAATAATAATAAGTATAAAACGTGGAGCAAAAGCAAATAAAGGATCAAATGCATATGATGAACATGGCCATGTAAAAATTGTTAATTGATGTTTTTTTATTGGACGATATAAAAGAGATTCAATTGCAAGATAACCTTTTAATAATTGACTTGATTCTTGAATATTTAAATGTGAACATAAATATGAAGATGGATGTTGAATTTCTAATGAATCTTTATTATTATTTAGTAAACTTGTATTTTGACATAAATGTTTATTATATTGACAATGATAACTAATACTATGTGTTTTTAAAGAATCATTAAATAAAAGATGTTCATTAAATTGTTGAAATGATGATAAAATAAAATTACTTCGTCGACATAAACGTTTAAAACGATTAAATGAATTATTAGAAACAATTTCAATCGAAATATCCGATGATGGACATCGAAAAACTGATGTATAATTTAAAATTTTCATAGATTTTTCTTGTGAAACAATAGACGAAGATGGTACATGAATACGAGTTGGTATAGTATCATTAGATAATGGTACTTGATTATTAGTTTTTGATGAACTTGTATGTATCCAACGGAGAAGACATAACAAAAGAATACATATAATAGGAATAAATAGTTCGAAGATGATTTTAGGACAGCATCGGCATATTCGACGACGCCAAGCATAACGAGCTGATTTTTTAATTAATAATTGAAGATGATAGAAAAACATTTTGATCAAATTGTCAAATTTTGACACGAATCATACACATTATCTTTTATTTCTATCTCTTTTTTATAATGATTAATGTTGCCATCAAAAAAAAAAAAAAAAGATAGTGAACGAATGGAAAGAAAGATAATAATGATGGCAGCACACGTCGATATACTTTTAATGGATAACATATACGATGTGTACACATTACATTTGAGAACAAAAACTTGAATGTTTATCTCTATTCACAGCAAAAATTTAAAATCTTTTCTTGCTTGTCGTTGCTGCAGAGTTTTGAAGTTAGAAGATCAAAATTAGGTTTTTTTCGGACACTATGTGGTGTCAAAAATAATTTCTCTGTCCCACAATTTTGACTGGATGAAAATAACTCTTTTTCAGCTATTTTTAAGTTAGTACTTTCCTCTTTCTGATCATATAAATAGCTTACAGCTTTGGTTTCGATTTACTCATTTCAGTAACTATAAGAGATCAGTCAATGATGTTTTTTAAATCTTTTTTTAGCTGATCGGACGATGCAATCCATGGTAGAAATTTCAGCTCTTAAGTAAGTATCCGTCAGGAGAAAATAGTATTTTAGTCGAAAAATGTCATGATACAATTTAGAGAAAATATAATTTAATTTCACCTTCTTTGATTTCATTCGAGTTTTTCCATATTGAGAGACATTTACTGAGTATTCTTCCTACCTTGGATAGCTAAGAGTGAAATGCATTGTGGATGTTAGGTTAGCCATCATCACTCTCACTTTTTAAAGATATGCATGTATATGTGCCGATAAAGTTCTGCGCATGCCCATATTAGATTTTCCTTTTTGAAAATTTCTTCAATTAATATATGATAACAATTTATAAAAATTCATTTAGTATCCATTTCAAAATATAATGTGTTCCAGTGTTTGTTAAACAGATTTTTATAGGAACATTATAGAAACCTGTGGTTTTCACTATTTAAGAAAGAAAACTTGGAGTCACCGAACTATATCGAAATTTGATTGGTCAGCAACTGATCAATCAGGTGAATTTCTAGTGAAGATTTTTGAAAACGATGTTCTGATACTATTTCCCTGTGGGTTTAGATTTTTAGTAGGATTAAGCGATATAAAAAACTTTTTCTCTTTCGATCTACACAAGGTCGAGATTCCTAGTTTGTTTCGTTCGAGAGTTATAAAGCTTTTCCTAAGGCCTTCGATTTTAGCCAATTAATCTGTGATCACTCGAAAAAGCAGCTAGACGGGCGTAGTTCATCATGTGAGTCGAATGATGATATTTGTTTTTAGATTTGAGCCAAACTAACACTGTTATTTCAATATTTTTGAAATTCCATAATTAGCTTCCATGTAGCGAATGACGCGACATTTTGGAAGTATTGAAGTAACAGTGTTAGATCAACTCAAACTTAAAAAACAAATATTATCATTTGACTCAGCATAGTGAATTACCCTCTGCCTAACTATTTTTCGGCTGATCATAGGTCAATTGGTGGAATTCGAAGATGTCAGGAAAAGTTTTATAAGTCTCGTATGAAACAGCCTAGGAATGTTAGTCTTATGTAGATCAAAAGCGAAGAATATTTTCTATCGATTAGTTCTATTGAAAATCTAAATTGAAAAGGAAATAGCTTCAGAATATCATTTTTGAAAATTATCATCAAGAACTCATCTGATTAGTCAATTGCTGACCAATCAAATTTCGATATGCTTCGATGGGCAGTCACGAGTTTCCTTCTTTGAAAGGTGAAAACTCGCAAATCTCTATAATATTCCTATCAAAAGTTATTTAACAAATGATGAAGCGTACTATATTTCGAAATGGATAGTAGTTAGTATAATCGTAATGGAACTTTGCAAATAAGTCTTTATCAATTGATTAATAATCATAGTAAAAACAGATTAATTTATTTAATGGATTAAAAGTCTATTTGATGTTATTCCAAAAAAAAATATTTAAACAAAAATTTTTCTATGAAAATAACGATGAAGTTCTTTAATTAATGTAGCTGTACAAGGTTCATCAAGTGGTGTATTAATATAAACACTTTCAAACCATTCAAAACCTTGTTCTACTAATTGTTGTCCTTCATTCATTGTTTTTGTATGTGCTATAAAACGGCAAACAGTATTCATACCATTAATATTATATTTTTCATAAATTGTTGGTATTTCAACATCAGCTAATGGAATATATGTTAAATTATGTATTGGACATTCACGTGGTATATACATAAGTTTACCCGGTTTACGTGGAATAATAAGATCAGTGATAACTTTTTCTTCATTATCTTCGATTAATTTTGGTATTGGTAATGAAATACTTGCACGAAAATCTAATCGAGCAAATGATTGTTTTTTATCATTTTGAAATGATAATAAATCTATAAGATGTGTTATTGAACCACCAGGTGCACGTGCTGCTATTTCACAAAGAACAAAATCATCATCAGGTAAACGATTTTTATCAAGATTTTCATATAACTCTAAATGAAATACTAAATTATCAGATGGTGTTGGTAAAATATTTAGAAGACGTTGTGTAGTTTTACATAAACGATCATAAAGTGGATCTGATCGAGGAATAGATGAATTTCCATAAGCTTTTCCTTGTTGTGAAAAATCTAAACATGTATGAAGATAAGTAAATGGCCATGCATAAATAATTTGACCATTTTTAGCAATACCATTAACATGAAACATATGTCCATTCATAAATCCTTCAACCATTAATTCACCAACTAAATCCATTCGTTGTTCAATATCAATACATGTAAAAAGTGTCGATGAAAGGAATTTTTCTAATTCATCTGCACTTTTTATTAAATGTAGACCAGCTGTAGCACAACCAAGAGTTGGTTTAACTACAACTGGATATCCATATTTTTCAATAAAACCAATTAGATCAGCTGGTGCATATAAACGAGTAAATGGTGGAACGGGAAAGCCACCTTCACAAGCAATTTCTTTCATACGAACTTTTTCACGATAAGCAGGTACTAATTCAGCATTTAAACCAGTATTAATATTAAGCAATGAACGTATATGAGCTGTTCTTATGATTAAATCTTCATTTCTTGTATAAACATGTGTAAATGAATGTTTTTTATGCATTTCAAATGCCCATAATTCAAGTGTACCATCTGTTGTTGGATGAGCTACTTCTTTATAAGCTCGAATACGTGCACAAGATTTATCTTTTTCAGATAATGCACCATTACTAGTAAAAATATATAATTCTATATCGTCATCATCATTAATAAAATCCGACCATGAATGTTCAGTAATTATGGATGAAATTTGACAATCGTCTAAGATTAAAACACGTTTTTCAGCCATATATATAATATATAAGTAACAATCGATATAAATATTGCACTCAAAAAATTTTTTATAAACGATATGTTTTGAGATGATGTTCTAGAATGAAAATAATATATTTAAATAATACGAACATGATTCCAATAAAATTTATATAATAGAAGCAAAAAATTTGTGTTGATTATAAGAAACACCAACAAACTTTTTTTTGTAGATACCCGAAAAAACTGCGGACATCCATTCTAGATTGTGCTTTTTGTTTTCGACTGGAATATAGCCTTTTTTTTGTAAACGTGGACATCTACGGTTATCTAAGTTTGAATTATAAAAGATAACGATAGTTACCTTAATATTTATTTGTGAAAAACATTTTTTATAAATAAAAATCAAAGTAACTATGAGCGTCCATGTTCACAAAAAATGCTTTATTTAAGTTGAAAACAAAAAAATACAGCATAGAATGGATGTCTGTATGATATTCGTTTCGAACTCTGTCTTTTTTTTGCAGCTTTCGTGATATCCGTGGGTGTTCGCAGTTTTTATAGGTACCTTTTTTTATTTCAAATGCTGTAAAGTCATTCAAAATGAAATATTAGTCTTTTATTCAGATTAAGCCTTTTTGTCTATTAACCCTTTGAAGACCGACTTTTTTTTTCTTACAGGAAAGAGTTGAATTTTTGCTTACAAAATTAATTATAGTTGAAAACTATCATTTATAACTTCTTCATCCAGAATTAATCCTAAAAAGACACGATGTTTATTTTGAAATAACAAAAACAAAATACACATCTAAGAAGTATAACAAATAATAATTCAATAACATATGAGAGGGAATATTAATGTAAAAAATCTAAAAATTTAATAACGTATAAAATTCCTCAAAACAACGAACAATATAAAAACCTATATTACAATCTTTACACAATTATATAGTGTAGATCAGTCCTCTTTCTTCGACTAGGGCGTGCACTTACAACACAAATGTTCTGAAGAGTTTTTCTATTTGTTATTTGAGATAAAAGAAATAAAAAATGCACAGCAGTAAGTCTAGTTGATTGATAAGGCACTGCAGGACGACCTATTGTAGATTTTGGAACACTATAAATTTCTTTCCGGCATTGGCTGAATCGATAACAAACTACAGGGAGCTAAATACATCTATACTCTATCTAGACTATTACATAACGAGTATATATGTAACATGTATATTAGAATAAAATCTATAATAAAAATTTCAACTTTAATGTATCTAAGGATTTTTTCACTTAGTTAAATTTCGGAATCGTATGTATACGGGCTTGACTCTCAAAGACTTACTTAATTATTTTGCATTTTAGAATGTGATTTTGCGAGATCGATATGATTTTAGAATTATAAATGTCATGGTGAGTTCCATATAATCCAATAATAATTTCTTACGATAGATGACCTAACATGCACAATAAATGTTGACCGAATACTCCGAGCTAAATATATATATATATGTCGTGCCGAAGTTATTTTGTATGATTTAATGAAATATCAATTATCAAGTGATACAAATTTTCATATTTAAGCATTTAGTTAAAATTAATTTTTCATTTCAAAAATATTTATATATCGGTTTATGAAAAAAAAAAATTTTAAAATGTACAAACAGAAATATCATTTTCCTGATAATTTAAAATTAATTTAAATTATGAGAAATTTCATTTATTTTATGTTTGAATTAATTGCTTTTTGTACTTTAGTAAATTAAAAATTAAAAAAAGAACTATTGTATTTCTTTGTGATATTTTAATTAAGAAAATTTTCCCTATTTTTAACATTATATTTATATATAAGTCATGTTATACAATATTTTCATTGAAGTAACAGGTCCTAATCTTGAGGATCTGGGTATAGATAGTGGTGGAAAAAATAGATTCTCACCTACAGCATTTATAGTTCTAAATCATTGGTATATGTTAGCATCCAATTGCGGATGCAGTCCAATCTCAGATGCACCTAGACCAATCTTGGATTCTTACTTTGGACTAGTCCAATGTTAAGTCGAATAAGAAGTTTTTCTTAAAATCCCTCTTAGTCCCTATTTAGATACTGTGTTCGAATTCTTGTTGGTGAATTGTGTCGAAACAATGGCATTTCAGGCGCTGCAATCATCAAGGCAGAAACTAAGTACGCATGCAAACACTGATAGATAATTATCTATAAGAGCTGTTCTTCTGTAGATACTTATCCATAACTCTGAAAGTCCTATTTTAACTTCTTCATTAATTATTGTATTACCTGAAATGTCAGTGTTTCAACATAGTTCACCAATAAGAATTCGAATCCAACATCTATCTAGGAGCTAACGAAGATTTTAACGAAAATTTCTTACTCAACCCGACATTGGACTAGTTCAAAGTGAGAATCTCAGATCAGCTTAGGCGGATCTGAAATTGGACTGAATCTAGGGATGTCGGTTTAGCATTAGCTTTGCATTATTTAATGCAAATTTTAATACTTTTGTATTAGAATTAAAAAATTAATTTAATACTTTGGTATTAGTATCCGAAAAGTATTAGTCTAATACTAATGCCTATAGTTCTCGCAAACAGAACAAAATTGCTCCGTTATTGTAATTTTTTTTCTAAAACAGAACACATTTGCTCTTTTATTGGAAACAGCTTCCCATAACGGAACAAAAGTGTTCTGTTTTTGGAAAAAAATTATCATAACGAAGCAATTTTGTTCTGTTTTCTGAAGCTATAGGCATTAGCATTCGACTAATACTTTTCTAATACTAATGCCAAAGTATTAAATTAATTTTTTAATTCTAACACAAGAGCATTAAGTTAAATTTTTAACCTAATGCAAAAGTATTAGTATTTTCCTAATACTAATGCTAAGCCGACACCCATACCCACCCTCAGAAATTGAACATCAACAAATATTTTTAGGAATATGTTTTTTTTATAAATGTATTTATAAATATTGTTGAAGTGAAAAATTAATTTTAACTATATGTTTGAACATGAAAATGTTTATTACTTGATAATTGATATTTTATTTAAATCATGCAAAATAACTTCGACAAAAAGTGTAACTTCAGCACGATATATATATGCTGTACTTAAACTGTTCCATAACGTCTGTATGTGTGCCATGCATGTTAGAATAAAAAAATCCATACTAAAAAAATCAATTTTAGTGTATTTAAGGGCTTCTTTCCTTAGTCAAATTTCAAGGCCGTATATATACGATCACGGTCTTCAAAGGGTTAATATGTGGAATTTAAATTTAAATACCGAATGAAGCATCGATATTCAATACTAATACTGTAATATGCTTTACAAATTTACCTTCACTTTTCTGAATATCCAACACAAATGAGAATTATATGGAAGATTATGATAGAATTGAAGATAAGATTATTCATTAAACGAAACAGAAATTCAGTATGAAATGTTTCGAATTGTAATGAACATATTGAATATTAGTATCTAACAATAGGCCAAACTCAAATCCGTTTGATATTACGAATAGAAGAATACATCGTAATGAAAATTGAAGAATATATTTTATTGATTTCATCAGATCTTAGAACATCTAAGAAAACATGATCAACATCACAACAAATCAACAATTTCTAACTTATTAATCATTCTATATCTCTGATTATTAGACAGGACTTTCAGATCTGTCATAGTTGTTGAAATATTAATTGATATTCGTTTAAGGTATCAATCAAATCTCATTTCCTTATCATGATAATCTGACATATGTTTATTAATAAACATAAAGAATAATTCGACGATTTAAGAAAAACCATATCTAGTTTTTTTATGTAAATTGATCAAAAATAGATGCCCTCGATACACTGATTAACATAAACACACTCAGAACTTGTATTCTTTTAATACTGAATGATGTGACCGATAATAAAAATATTTGATCGAACTGATTCAAATTGAGGAATTTATTTTATAATAAAAAAAATTCCAATTTTCATTATAATTTATTCTAACACTACTGAAAATTGTCTTATAATTTTTTGATCAAAACTCATCAGTTTTAGTTAGTAGTGTAACCAGAATTTTGTCCTAGGGAGGCTCTCAGTTCGATGGAAAAGCCAGTAGCAGCGCAAATTAAATTGGTGCACGACTTAGCCATTCCTTGGTTACATCACTAATCTTGATACAATAAAAATAAAATTCAAATTTCAAGAAAATAGGTTTTCGGATTATTTAAAATTGTGAAAAGATTTCATATATTCAAAAGTTGAGTTAAACTTTCATTAATAATACCTATTAAAACTCAATAAATATACTTTTTACCCTGTGTCACAATTGTTAAGTCGAGTAACATGTATGAGCACGATAAAATTACAATAGACGAAAAGAAAGAGCATATAGTGAGTTCATACATTTCTTTTTTTTTTTTGTCATTTAGCAAATAAAAGGAGTAATACAACATGAAAAGAAAAAAGAAAGGTCAAGTGCTATTGCCACGCGAATGTACTCCATATCGACGAGTTTTATGAAAATGATGATGATGATAAATATCAAAGCCAAGACGAGTAAAAATTCGTCGTTTCATAGCAAATAAGTCATCTTGTACTAATTTAAAACACATAGTTGTTAAAACAAGACCATATAGAAGATAGAGTGCACATAATATTGATTTACCATTTTTATTATCTGTTAATGTTCCTTTACCAGGTACGAAATCACCAAGACCTATTGTAGTAAATGTAATAAATGAAAAATAAGCAGCATCAATATAGGACCATCCTTCCCAATGAGAAAATAAAATAGCACCAGCTACAATATATAATGTAAGTACACCAATTGTAGCTGTAATTGGTACATGATGTTGTATGGTTCTATTTTCTATCTAGAATTTAAAATATGAATAAAATTTAGAATTTAATAAATATGTATTACTAACTTCAAATGATATTTTTGATTCTTGCTGTTGTCGTTGTTTTTTTTGTCGCCTGATTATACGATGAACCAAATTAATTGTCGTAGAATAATACTTGATAAAGAAAAAAGCAAGTAAATCACCTGTATTTGTTAAATACATAATCATAATAGGGATTCCAATAACGGCATAGAGACATGTTGTTAATTTGCCTAATATTGATTTCGGTGTAATATTTCCATATCCAACTGTAGTAATCACTGTAGCTGAATAAAGCATAGCTGTAGAAAATGTCCATTTTTGATTATAAGCTGCATCTGCTCTTGTATCATGTTTATCTGATAATTTTTCTTGTTCAGCTTGCATTCGTGCAAGTTCATCATCAATTAATCGATCAAATCTTTCACTATGAACTTGTACACGCCAACCTGTATCATCATAACCATCGAGACGTGATAACATACCACGCCATAATGCATAACGTAATTCAAATGATGCATTTAACATCCAATTAAATTCATCAGTAGCTATACGACGAATATTATGAATACCATGTAAATGTTTTATTTTAATTTGTTCATTTTTATGTGATTCATATTTTGATTCAATACCATAAAAAATTAAACCACCAAAAACAATATAAATAAATACTAGAACGAATAAACCTAATTGTGAACATAAACATTGCATAATAACTTGACAAAATGTTTTTCGAAACCATTTCCATATGCATAAATCACAACAATAATGACTAGTAGTATTTTGTTTAGATGTACTAATAAGCATTGGAGAGGTTGATTGATTTTTAATAGGAATTGGAATGTCACCATGTTCATCAAAAGATACTAATGGTGCAAGATTCAATTTAGTTGATAATGTTGGTAGCTGAGATACTTCACTTGAGATAATTTTAAACTAAAAATAAAAAAAAAAAATTCTATATATAGAATGAATAGGATTAATATTAATCTTACAGGTACAATCGTTGATGTACTATACTTGGGGTGACTATGACGAGCGGCATAATTCATTTTCTTTCCTCATCAACAAATGATTTTTCTGAATTTTTTCTGAGCTATTTTCAAATATCTTTCTTTATTTCTTTTTTTTTTGTTTTTTTTCTTTTACTTCTCATTCTCCCTGTAGCTTTGATCGATCAATCAACCTAAGCTGTGATTAGTATTTCATACCTGTTCGTCGTCGTCATCATCATAGTCATCGTCGTCATCGATATTAATGATTGCACTATTTTTAGTTGTCTTCAACATGATTATTTACGTACTAATGTGAATACATAGCACGTTAAAATGATCATCAAACAATTGTATTGACAAATTCAATTGTCTTTTTGTTTTCCTGAATCCTTTTTGATAATGAATGTTGACAACGGCAAACATTATATTCTCATTTCCGACTATATTGCTCTATATGATACTTGTATGTTAATCATAGTTTGTGAAACTATTAATGGGTAATTGTTTGATTGCAATCGTTTATATAGTGCCGAAACATACTGACATCAACACTAACGTCTTTTTTTTTTTGCTCATAAATAATGGTTCAATTGTGTGATTATGTTAAAGTAGAAAATTCTATATCTCAAAAAAATGAAATTTTATTTCTCTTTTTCTTTTTTTTTTTTGACTTGAATTTACTTGTGGATTGCATGTGTCCTCAATCAACAAAAAAACCAATGATTTAAAGAGAGAAAAAAAAGCTACAGTAGCAATGATTCATTATTTTCATCATAAACACTGTTCTTTACTGATGTGTTCTGCAATTTTCTTTTCTTTTTTTTTTGTCCTTCATGCCCCATGCTTGTAATGCACTACGTTATATCGGTGACAGAATGAGAAAAAGAAAAAAACTTATTATACATCCTTTAGTACTACAGTTTGTGTGCCTTGTTACAAACAAACAAACAAACGACGAGTAGTTATCTGAAAGTATTTCTTTTTCTTTTCTAAGAAATTTTAGATTATTTTTGTTTCAATATGTCTAAACGTCATCCATTGAAAATAATTGAAACATTTGATGAACAATTATCATCTTTATCACCAGATGAATTAAAAACATTTGTTGCTCATGTTCAACATCGTTTAGATGATATAAATGAAAAAGACAAAGAAAAAGAAAAAGTTCCTCAAGAAGAAAATAATATTTTTTCTCGAGTTTGTCTTTTATCATTATTATTAATTCTTCAATCAGGTTCATCATTTATTTTACAATCATTTTCTGAACTTATATCACGCCATATATTAATAACAATGTATTTAACAATGCTTGTTGGTGCCGGTGGTAATGCTGGAAATCAAGCAGCTGTATTAGTTATTCGTCGTTTAGCAACATCAAATACATTTTCAATACGATCACTTATTATACGAGAAGCATTTTCAGCACTCATTATTGGTACAGTTGTTACATTAATTGGTTTTATTCGTGTATGGCTTGAAGAACATGGTGCAATTTTACCTTCTTTAACTATTGGTATAGCTTTATTTTGTATTGTTACTTCATCAATTTTACTTGGTACAATACTTCCAATTATTTTACAACGTGTTATACATGTTGATGCTGCTCATGCAGGTCCTATTATTCAAGTTATAATGGATATACTAGGTGTATGTATAACATGTGCTGTAGGACAAAGATTTCTTGTTAATTCATCTTATGCTAAACATAAAGAATTATAATCAAAACAATTTACTTTACCCATTTTATGTATAGTTTTATTTTTATCCTATGCTGCATTAATGAAGCAAAAACAAAAACGAAAAAGAATTTTATCTAACATTTGCTGTCTGTAATACATTACTTGAGGATTTCAGCTGACATATATTAATCGGCAACTGATAAAAAAAACAACAGTCAGAAATATCAATGTCAACGACTGGATTATCACCACCTCAAGTCAGAAAAGCAGAAAAACAAATGGAAACAATACGGAAAGCTGTTTTTTTTTATGTAGGCCCTTTAGTAATTTGTTACTTTTTTCCATAGCATTTCTTTATTCTCAAAGTTCTAAAACATAATAAATAATACATAAAGAAGATGAATATTTTTATAAAATATATCATTTTTTGAACGTAAATGCATTTGTTGTTTGACATGTTTTCGATTAGAGATTGTTTTTGAGATAATATATATTTGTGTAACAATGAAGTATCTATAACTATGACATCTACTGACATTTATTTGCAAAAAACATTGGATAAATATCTCATTACCGAAAGACATACTTTCGATATTGATGGTTTTTATTGGAATAGAACATAGAATAAATCATATAGACAATAATTGACTGTAGACTATAGATGCTACAACTTATTTAATATTAATAGATTTTACTGTCTCCAACTTTTCAAGAAAATATAAAACAAAACTTTCCATATGAAAAAGCAGAATAGGTAGCAATTCTAGTCATTAACTTTATTGTCTTTTGTATAAATCGCTTTTGTCGTGGATAATTGAACTGTTCAATATTAATATGAGCAATGGCAGTTTTTTACATGGTCTGTGTTATTGGACAATACATTGATGTATTGTGACAATGAAAAATTAACAAATAACAACATTACCGAAGTTAATTCCTCAACATGAAATTGTTGTTCAAATAGTTTTTTAAAATGAATCAATTAAAACTTTCAAGTATTTTTTTAATGAAAGAATCTTTTTTTTTATGTTTAAAAGTTTCATGTACAGTGTACAATCATGTGGATATTTGGTGGAAAAATCAAAGTGATATGTTTTTGCGATTTGAGTGATGTCCAATAGATCTCGCCGAGTCCAAAATTTTCGGACCCGACTAACAGAATAATTTCAAACCCTTACCTTTGGCTAATGGCCGAGTTTTCGATTTAAAGAAGAATACTCCAGCTCTTCAAGGGTTTAGGAAAGTTCTAGGCCCAAAAAATGGCCAAGTAGTCTGTCATTTTAGAAGAAAATATCCTTTTCGAAAGAAGATAAAACCACTTACGGTATAAATCATGCAGATTCTTAAAGTAGAACTCTTGCTTTATCGTTATATATGAAAGACTATGTTCTAACAATTTTCCTGTTGTAAAAAAAATATCCGTGCTTTCTCAACTAAGGATTTTCTAAAAAGTTGTGTTCAATGCAGTTGGTGCGCACACTTTAGTACAGTTCCAAACTCGATGAAGCTTTCACAGACTATTTTTCTCTATCTGACGCATTTACTCAGTTAATGTAAAGATACATATATGCTTCTGGATTGAGATACAGGCTTTCTAAATAGTTAAAGTTTGCCGCGTTATGTTGTCTAAGAAGTACTTTTTAAGAGAAAAATAAGAACACTTTTTTGAAAGCAGCACAAAAAACTGCGTCGAATATTGTGACAATTGTTCATTTTTTTCCCATGTTGCCGGTCGTGATATTGATATAACAGATAAAACTGCTATTCTTGATGTTTAAATAAAAAGATTGTCGTGTTTTTTTTTGTCTTATTATTGTACCTTATTAATAAAGAAGTATCTAATGAAAAATAAAATATTGACCTATTATGTATTTATTTATTTCATAAAAACGAAAAAGTTTTTTTTCTTTCTATTGAGTGACATTTGTTACTACGACAAACATGCTCTTACTGTACAATTACATCTCAAAACAAATCTTATATTGATTTCCATTTTTTTTTTCGTGCTGGAAATTCTATTCAGATTGGTGTACTTGTTCTGAAGTAAATAATGATGAACAATGTTGTACATATTTATCCGAAATCTGTAATGATTCTAATAGTCATGGTGATGATTTACGGAATATTATTGATAAACAATGTTTTAAATAAGTTATTCGAATATGTCCGAAATTTAACGTCAACATATTATTTATTTTCTACTCAATGTGATTGAAGAAGATCGATAAACAAATAAATTAATAATAATGATAATATTACAAGTAAAAAACAAAAATATTTCTTCTTTACTTATTCGGTATTTTTTTAATCAAAGTTCATTATATTATTCCAAAATTAATTCTTAAATGAATGAAAAATTCTCATAAAGAATCTGTTGATATATCAAAATATTTAATTGAAAATATGTCAATCATGACATAATGAATTGGCAAATGATTATCAAACAGTTGATATAATACTTGATGCTTCTGCTATTCAACCATATCTTGATTGGAAACAAAGACGAGAACGAACAATATAATTAAATATAAATTTTTATTATTCATTTTTATTTCTTTGTGTTTCGTATTCTGAATAGAGTTGTATATGATAAGTATAAGATTCTTTCTTGCAGAATCGAAATTTATAACCATTTAACTTAAGTTTCTTCTTCAAACCAAATCGATCTTTTAAACTTCAATAATAACCTACCGGAGATCTGGTTGCTACTCATATGGATGTAAGAAAATGAGATTTTGGACGTGGGTGTGCATATATTCTTTATCCACATTCACACCCACACCCTTGCCCTACCATATTCATCAGTATCACAAATACATAAAGTATTATAATTTTTCAACCGATAATACCTCAAATTCAATATTAACAATGAAAAAATGAATAAGAAATTGTTTGATTTTATCGAGTAAGAAAACACCAGCACTTAATAAAGATCCAATGAAAGAATACCCAAATGAGGTATATTATTGACATAAGATAAAGCACTTGTTATCATAATATTTCGAATATCAGATTTTGTTGTTCTTTGAACAAAAAAACGTAATAATACTGCTAGTGCATTTCGTGCGGGAATAAATTGTAAAACAAGATGTAGTTGCTGTTACTAATCACAAGAAGATTATTGTGTTCAGTCTAATTTAGAAGACATTTCTTTACTATTCTGTTACTTGATAGTCCAGACATGCGATAGAGAAGTAGTTAACTAGACGATATTGAGACATGATCTTTGATCGTATATCAACAAAAATTCCGTTTAATTATTTTTGCAATAGGTGAGTTAACTTTCTTGTTTCCTTATGCTTTATATACCATTTTGTAGCTCGTAAAATTATCTATCGAATGGTATATAATAGTTGGGGTTTTATTTGACTATGATAG